CTGAAAATAAAAATTTTGAAAGCAATAAAATAATTATTGTAAAAAGAATTATAGTGAAAGGCTGTGCAATAAAAAGTTATAAAAAGTTCTTTAAAAATTAAACTGTAGCTACAGTGGCGCCACCCTTATTTAGCACTTACCTACGTCTGTACTCCTTACCTCTACACTCCGTAGTCTGCATGCTCATGTAAAACTACTTCGATGGTGATATGATCGTCAAACTAATAACTTAAGGTTATTTTGTCCGCGTTGGTGCCACCTATCCAGCGTTGCGATCGATACGGCAATTGCCGTAATATACGGCATTCCACGATTTTTTTTAAAGATTATACGGCTTTTCATTGCCGTATCAAGTATTACGGCAATTCAGCTTTGCGATAAACTACGATGGCAAATTATGAACAAAAAACATAAATACCTGTATGATATCCATATTTTTTTCACTTTCGTCATCCCTCAAGTGATAATAAAGAGTGTGGTTGTCTATGACGGGAAATTACCGTTCCATCTTTTATTTTATGAGACTAACAAAGATGGCATAAACATGACACATGGTTGACATTGATAGAAGTAATGAATGAAAGAGATACACATATTTACTTTGTTTATATTATTGAATGTACAACATTATGAACTATAAGATGTGTACGGTACTTTTGTCGTATTTACTCAGGCAGTAAATTAAACTTGGATCCAATTGGCTTTGTTGGAATGTCTGCACTTTCTACAAAAAGCTTAAACTCTTACTTCAAAACACGCGAAAAGGACGAAGACGTCATAGTTGTTTCCGTCGTTGTCGCCATTGACCCAGCAATTGTCACGAATTGTGAGAGAATCAGATAAGCAACGAATTGATGACGAGTGGAGGTTGCCACCAAATGTAAACAAAATTTCAGAATTAGAAATAAAAACATGAATTTTGGGCAAATGTCCAAGATACTACAGACTGCAAAATATTATGTTACAATGTATTATGTGTATCTACAACATAGCAATGCAGATTGCGAAAAAGTTTTCAATATGAAAACAAAATCCAGAAATAAATTGATTAATCCACTGTCAACGGAGCTCTATTAGCAAGAAAAGCGGTTAAAAATCAAGGAGGTTGTACGAAATTTCAAATGTCAAATGATATGTGTAAGAAAATGAAAAGCAAAGAAAAATATTAATTACATAGACAAACGAGTGATGTTTTCAATCAATCAGAAACCTATATGGTGAAGAAATTTAAGATTTTATGTGATTTATTTAATTATTCGTAGAAATAAATACTTTACGGCAATTTCGTGGATTTTTTTCATAAATACGGCAATTTTCGTTTTTAGATACGGCAACTCAATTTTTCACGGTCGCAACGCTGCACCTATCGCTAGCTGTCATCAAAATCTAAAAAATTCACAATGTGACGCATTAAAGGTGAGATAGGTATTGTAAAGATTTTTGTAAACACAAAAAACTTGTGAGCATATTTTAACCGTTATGTTCTTAGATCATATAGTGTTTATGTTATAGTAATTCTTATTAGACGAATTACTTTAAATTCATGTCTAAAGTTAATCTTAAATGCTATTTTCTAGTTCTACTAGTAAATAAAATTCATATTAATACCTATATCCGATATTATTTTACTATATTATTTGTTATTTACCTAATAGGTATTACCTTTTGATATATAAATATATAAATTAAATTAGCACGATTATATAACTACACAACAATAAAGTATACAAAAAATATTTTTGATGGCCTGATTTTTAAATAAACCATTGGTAAGGCAAACAGTAGTACCTAGTAAGGGAGTAGCGTTGCCAGACATCCGGATATAGCCGGACACAGTTAGTGAAACACCCTCTTTTTTTCGTCGGGGTATAAATCTAAAAAAATCCCCATAATCATCTTGACAAATTCCCCGACAACTTAATGAAATTACAGTTATGAACATGGAGAATGCTTTTGAAGAATAATGTACAAAAATGATGAAAGGTAGGCGAATAAAGTATACAAATTATATCTTAAATTACGTCATTAGTACTAAATATTTTATATTTTCAACTCGACTTCACAATTTCTAACTACTAAGTAATTATAAATTCGTAATGTGGACAATTAAATACCTATGAATAAAATGTCTACGTCTGGATTTTGGGACATAAAACTACGAGCGTATCTAAATATTTATTCTTATTATTTTATTTTAGCTTCTTTTTAGAATATCTCAATACATATTAGGATGTATTTGATATTTTCTAAAACTTACTAAAGTAGGGTTGCCACCTGTATTATGCTATATAGTATCGTACTATATTTCAGTCAATTGTACTATATATTATGAGTAATATAGTACGAAAAATACTATATTTTAATACTACATTACTATATGTTAACTGTGGCCGGAAGTCAGTTACAAGTAAGTTTAATGGAAATAATTTTTTCTCGTGAATGTAAAATGGAAAGATGAAAGAAAAAGACCATGTATTGATATAATTAAAAATAAATTGTTAATTTATTTCAACATGAATGTAAATTGCTTAGATTCCTATAATTATTTCAAAGGTCATTGATGGCCAAGGGGAAAAGCAATAACAAATATTAGTGAAAAATACATAATGATTAAAAATAAATGTGTCCATTTTTCCTGAAATTCCTGAACGTAAAATTTTTTTGCACATTTTTTGGGAAAAATACTATATTTGTTCAAAAAAAGGTGGCAACCCTATACTAAAGGTACAAAGTCATGGGCCTTCTTGACGAAAACTGTTAGAATCGGAACATTGTACCTATAGCAGCAGATTTATCGGTTACTACAAGCATTTCACGTTGCTTGGAACCGGGCGGCAGGAAACAAACTTCAGGACGCCGATTAGGTAATTTCTTTTTACAGTGAAAATAATGGTAATTAAAAAAAATAAAAAAAACATAAGCCCTGCTTTATAGTTAGTTCAGTTAGTATGCAAAGTTTCATGATCCTATTTGAATTATTTTATGAATAACGGCGATTTATTGTTCAGTTTGGAGATAACTTTGGATTTTTTTTTCTATCGAGAAAATTTTACGGAATCGTGTTTTCGTCTAACATAGTACTTAACATTAATCCTCAACTTTACCATATATTTATTTCAAAATTAATGCTGCTATATTTTCGGAATAACGGAGGGTCTTGCTAAGCCATTTGAGGTTATGTTTCCCCTTAAGGCCAGAAGCCACCTTTGCAATATAATTATTAATTATAAAAAAGACAAAAGTCGATTCCGACGGAAAATATGACTAATGGTTATGATTATATTTAGGTGCACCTATGAATAATGTAAGGAATATTATACCATTACCGCTTATTAAAGTCCAATGGTATAACATAAGTCTTCCCCACAGATTGCTTCATGGGAGGGATATTTGCTATAGTTGCCACGCTTGGCAACCGGGTTGGCAACCGCAGTTTTTTCGCTGCTGCCCATCTCCTGATTTGTTTCCCTCTGTCGCCTCTGACGACACTGACGGGATGATATGGGATAGTGGATATTCTTACACCGGTACTACACGGTGGAATATTTATTGTAGATGTTAAGAGAATCTAACCATGCCATTTGTCCCTAAAGTTGGATCTACGCTAGAGGAGCCGAGCACGAGTTGAGCACAAGCTGAGCCGCTCTACTCACGGTTTCAAGTGTTGACGTACAACGAGCCTACAACATGCAAATCGATGCATGCGATACAAATCCCTTTGTGTTTGTCAAAAAACCGACAATAGGCGGAGCACAGTCGAGCACGAACCAATCGCTCGAAGCGCGCTCGTACAAGGCTTGAAGTCGGTCCACACTACACGAATCTGTGCTCGGCGCATTTTCCGCTCGTAGTCGACTCCTCTAGCTGAGACCTTTAAGTTTCGTAAAAACTCCACTCAAGATATTACCACTACAATCTAATTTAATTAAATCGAAGATTTAAATGCTTTACTAAACTATTTTGTAGTATTTTAGTTACTACACTATAACATCAATATTTAGATCTTTTCGTAAGTCTTTAATAACTCAATGATGAAAAGAACAATTATGTACAAACTTGGAATACCTCGATGTTGCACAAGAAGCGCGAAATGTAACAACTAGACTTGTAACGAATATTTAGCCTACTTATTCGGCTACTTTTATCATATGCGATCGAATACCGAATATCTATAGGTATTATTATATTGGTCATGTGGAAAGAATGAATGAGGAAAGAGCGACAAAGAAAATTTATGTTGCAGAAGTGAATGGCAGAGTCGGAAAGGGACGTCCTAGGCGAAAATTTATCGACAATCAAATTGGCGATTTATTGAAAACGGGCCAAATTAGGAGTACCCTTAACCGAGGAGCATGTATGCGTAGGTGTATGGATGTGAAGGAGGCGAGAGGTGTGTCAGGATCGTGCCAAATGGAAGTCTGTAGTCTCTGCCTACCCCTATGGGTGACAGGCGTGAGTGTTTATGATGATTATGATTATGATATTCGGCCGAATACCGGATACTTAAGTAAGAGGTTTTTAATGAACAAAAGTCATGTAAACATAAGATTAGTTTTAGTCGGATCTTATCTAAACTCAAGAAAGCACATTGGGATACGATTATAACAAGCTATGTATGTTCACCTGTCGCCTTAAATCTCCTAAAATAATGGTCGTACTGAAATAAATGAGATATCGTTGGAACTTACGTTCTCCGCTGCGGGTGATGGACTGTATGACGTCACATAAAATGCAATTGTACATTTATTGCGGAGATAGTGTTAAAAATATTAGGTAATATATAAGTATATGGAATTCAATGTTAGGTCTTAACAAGTACATTTCGAAAATATACATAGAATACCTGTGAGTATACATAAATACCAACGTAATACACTGTTACGTCCTTTAAAAGATGATACATATTATGCTTGTTAGGCTGTATAGCCTCATATTAAATTAAATTTTGTTGCTATAGATCTATAAATAAATAATTAAATAATGAAGGAACAAAATGTACTTTATATGTCAGTTTCCTTGAAAACGCTGCAAGGTCTGTCCATTTTGAAGTGAATGTACCGGGAGTTTGGCGACTCCATTGAGTCCTGCGACTCTTGTTCTTCCATCTTCGCGTGCTTTGGTGAAGCCTCAGAATGGAACTCGTGGCGAAAGTTACCTGAGAATTCGATCGATTAATTAATTAAGACAACGATTTTGTTCGGCGTCTATATTCTCTAATAACATTTGAAATAATGATTTCTTATATTTACGCGAACATTGCACATGATTAAAACTACTTTTACGGATTTTATCGCGTTTATTTTTACTTTTTATTTTTAATTCCCGACGTTTCGGGCGCTTTCCAGCACCCATGGTCACGGGGGACTGAGATGACTGACGTCCCGATGTCATTGTTAAACCCGGAGTACCTTCAGCTTTTTTAATTATTGTTTATGGTCCGATCTATGCAAAATGAACTGACTATGTCCTGAGGTCTTGCAGTGGTATGCTTGGGTTTAGTAGGGAATTAAAAATAAAAAGTAAAAATAAACGCGATAAAATCCGTAAAAGTAGTTTTAATCATGAACATTCGAAATATTAAAATTAACCGTGTAGATGCAGTGTAAGATATGGGGTAGTGGATATTCATCCATTGCCCCATATCATCCCGTGGGTGTCGTAATAAACGACAAAGGGAAACAAATCAAGATATAGGCAGCAGTCTTCCTAATAACGATTAAAAATAATAAAAAAAAAGCTGCGGTTGCCAACCATATTGCCAAGCGTGACAAATATTGAAAATATCCCCCTATGAGGCAAGCTATGGGGGGGGGGGGATATGTTCAACAGTGGACTTTAATAGGCTGCAACAGTAACGGTATAAAAATTAATGCTATTTATAATGTTCGGAATGAAAAAAATGATTAAACAAAATTTACTCTATGATAACTTACAGTCAATGGCAAGGTTTACTAATATAAATACAAAGAACAGACATGTCACAAAACATACTCACAAGCAAAGCGGCAAAGTTTCGAGGCGAAAACAAATTGGATCTTGCTGGAATACATATAAACGTTAAAATAAAAGGAGTAAAAGGGGCTACAATTCTACGGTAAAAAAAAAATAAGTTTTAAAACAAATGCAAAGGAAAAAGGATACGAGCAGCTAGAGGTTCTTCGAAGGAATCTTTTTCTAGATTCACACAAATAAAGTGTTTCACAAATATTAATGGCATATAAGATTACGTATTGAAATATTGTAAATATTAAAACTATAAGAAAAATATTGCACTTAATAAGGATGTGTTTCGATTTAAGAGTATAGAGAGCTCGTATAACTACAGGCTCTCAGGCATAACATCTTGCTCTTCAGTGGCGATAACACATCTTTAGCCTTCTATGTTTAAAGTTATTTGCAGGTGTCCACAGCCATTTACCATCAGATGGGCTCTTAGTGCACTTGTTACTGAGGTACGTGAGTGTAATATGGTCACCTTAAGTTTTCCCGCCCTATAAAATCAAAACTAGGAGAAGGATAGAGACAAAAACATTAATTCGCAAACTATAACTAATATAGTAAGAGAAAAATTGCACACAAGCTTTTGAAATAATTGGGAACACTTCGAAAAATCAACTAAAATATTTACTATAATGTCAACTGTCAGAATGGCGTCGATAAAGCAAAGCCCTTTTGACCCTTTATTATTTGATTGACCGATGAAGAGCTAACGTATCACAGTGACATTTATACAAACAAGGCTTTTTGAGTTATAAGAAAGTGACTATATTAACCGGATAACCATATTACTCTAACGTACTAAATAACTTAATAAAAAAAGTAGACAAATTGGTCTGCAAGTGGAAATCTTTTAATGTTCTATCAATTTTAGTCAACGAAACCCAAAGATTTCCAGGTAGACCGAGACCGGCGATTCAGAGAAGAAACTGTCAGCTGTGGACGCGCGGACCCCGGGCAGGCAGCTGCCATAATAAATATGCCACGTAATTGTTTTTCATTTATGACAGTTAATGTTTTTAGACAAATACGAAATATATTTACATACTTATTACGTTGACAAAATGCACACATACTTAATGACAGCGTTTTCTTGTCACATAAAACCATACTCACTCAAACTAACAAAAAAATATAGACGGAATGCCACCGTACATTTTAAGAGACGCCAAAAACGTGTTCAACTTATTGTAAAAACATATTATGTATTATTTTCAACTAACAATATAGTAGGTATTAGCATGTCCGGCGATAAAGCCGCAAGGGTAGGTACTTACGCGGCAGTGTGTATGCTAGTCTTGTCACGAAAACGGAAATATAATGATTTTGGATATTATAATACTCATTATCATTTATTAACATTCTTTACATACCTACAAGTTTAAAACATCTATCGAACAAAATAATTTTTTATTACTACAAGAAAAAACACATTACAAGTGTTGTACTAGCAAATATTTTCGTTACACTTTCTTTTTGCAGATGTTTTCAGTTTTCGATTGTTAAATTTAATTATGTAGTGAAGATAAAAAAAAATTAACAAGATAAAAAAGCGAAAAATAAGCATGGCCGTCATTTGAATTCACTTTTACTTAGTAACTCATATAACTTTAACAATTATTTACCATTCTAGGTATTACGTTTTTCGAAAACGGCACTTAAAATTAATTAAATAATTACTATAAAACACGCTCGCGCCAACCGCATGTATTGTCTATCAGACTCAGCGAAGTGCGCTAGCACAAGGTCGGCCCGCTCCATGCCCCGCAATACAGTACCACCACCGTAGCTCTGCACAAGTACAATTGTTTTCCAACTTTAACTGTGGTATTACAAGTAGCACTGTAGCACAAGTGTGCTTCCAGCAACGGACTTTTACGAGGAGTTAATACTTTAACTTGTTTAGTTTTTTTTACCCATGGTTGAATGTGTAGTGTGTACATGCTCATTGTGATAGTGTCTGTCGGAGCGACCAGTTAAGACAGGTCTAGCTTTCACTTACCGTACACAATTTTTCGTCTCACGCACACTTTGACACGTATACGGACACGTGTTCACCACATGTAAAGCCCGTTCGAATTCGTGAATTACAAGAACTATAAGAAAGAAGTTTGATGTGTGCGTGAGTAAGTGAAGGAGTTGAGCATGGTTTCGGTGTCACTTGAAGGCAGCGCTACATCTATCTTTTTTGCTGGTCTGAGTATTTTAAATAAAATAAAAGTCAGTGCATAATATTTATTGTCGCATCTTAATAGCACCATACACAACAGCAGAATACAATTAAATACTTTTAAGTGCATTTTACGTAATAAAAAACACACGGACTTGGAATTTATGTCTGAATTATTTTGAAAGAAACAAGAGCACCTAATCCTTAAGAGAAATGCGGGTGGTCTTTTCTCCACGCAACGCTCTCGCCTGTTTAAATAAAAAGCATATATTTTTTAACAGTAAATAAATATCAACCTCTTCTCCGTCCCTATGTTTTCCTTTTTGATGATAAATAATCTTTATGAGCACAAGAATCCTAAAGAATTGTTCAAAATTGCCTATTTAGACCGCTGTTAACAGACGGCTAGTATTTAAATTTGATAACTAATATTGAAAAAAGAAAAACAGAGACACAGTGTAAGTATATCCTTCTTATTCAGTTTATAAAATATCTTTTAAGTTAGTCCAATATTAGAGGGAAATGTAGAGAGCTAAACCTCGAATTATGCCTTTTTACTTAGGCTATTCAGTCGGACCTGAACCAGTTGAACTTATAGCACTCGCGCTCGCAGAGCGACAGCGATAGTTTCTTCAAATACCTAATTTTCAAATGTCTCTCGGCCCGCATTTTCTCTTAATGAGTAATCACAACGACTAGATCAATTTGATAAAAATTAAACGAGGTGTTGTACTTCTAATATTTTATGGCATCACGTGAAGACCGGCAGAATAAGAATTTCGATATTATGTTTTTTTTTAATTTTTAATTATTACACCAATAGTTTTTTACAAAAAATATAAAAGAAATGAATTTAGAAAAGGATTAGGTTAGGAATGTAAACTACCCTGTTCACCCTCAAATATAGTTTAGTGTAAACATCGAGACAGTATATAATATAGTATATCGTTAATTTATCTAAATTCAGTCAGATAACTATTAAAATGAATATGAGAAGTAAATATATTAGGAACATGTTACTGTGTTCAAACAAAATCGTCGAAAACGTTTCAGATGAAATTCCAAGTCCACGTTTTAATTAAAATAACACAATATATTGCGCTAAAGCTACGAAAAATACACCAGTCTTAAACAAACAACAACTAATAATTACACTACGGATTTGGAACCTTAAGCGTTCTGATCAAGTGTTCCGTATAAGCGTGCAGTTTTAAAACAAACGTTTATCCCACACTAGGATTTTCTCCTACATCATTATGTATCCATCCATTGTGAACAATCGCATATACAGAGTAATAGAAATATTGCATACAATGTTGTAACTATTTATTAATATTTAGTATTTTGTTTTAGTAAATTGTTACTCATGGTTTCCCTATCTTTTCAAAACTAATAATGCTTTCTTTTTATCAATATTTAAATAATTATACAATCTTGTTTACAGAATCGCTACAAAAAAAGATACTGTAAAATTTTTCATTACTAGTCAATGTTCAATTACGCCTTGAAAATATTTTTTCTCATATGTTTTTATAAGTAACTTTCATATGTTGATTTCATATTCGGTCAAACACCAATCGATACGATGGACAACGAACAAAACGGACTCACTTGAGCAGAATTAAGACTAGAATTATTATAAAAAAATATTTGGCATTATAAAGCACCACAACATTTCAAAAGCACAGCTTTCAGTGTTAAAATATTTTTTTTATTTTGCCTAAAATTGCATTACTTCTAGGATTGCATATTTTGCAGTTACCTGCGGACTAGTCACTGCCACTATTAACGACGGCCATCCATTATATTTACAGAGGATGTGAATAATTTTAATTTATAATAAGAATATAAAATACAAATTTAAGATTCCATCATCTTAAATCAAAAATGCATGCATTTAAACGTAATACAAAAAACAATCATGCCTAAAGAAACTATTAGCATATAACTATTGCATTAGCCGTTTTGGAGTACAAACATAGCGAATTTACGATAACATGATAGATTTTTTTTTTGATACAGGTAATACATAATTCAATTAATCCACATTAAAAAATTAAGAATACTTGTAATATTTATGCTTTAAGCCTCCATTTTCATAAAATTTAAGTTGTCAAATCGTAAATCTAATGGTAAATATTACCATTTGTTCAATCAATACAATTCTATTGTAATATAAAATCTATATTAACTAAGGCCACTATCAATTTACAAAAATGCATTGTCATTCGTTCTCAAAATTAAAAAGAAAACACACGTCAAACTTATTTATCATCTGTACGTCAGTATTATTTGTGATTATTTTCGTTTAATTTTTAATTTTCAAGAACGTAAAAAGTGCAGCGACATCGATTTATCGATACAACTCAGGTGCAACATTTACTTAAGCCACTACATCCGCAATCTACTTTACGTGCTCGTCTCCTGCAAAACCCGTAACATTTTAGTGCCAAACAACACAGACCACCCTTTTTACTACTCTCTGATTTGCAAGACTCCCTACTATTTAACCTTTGCAACTCCGGGATTTCTTTATCATTTAATAACCTATCTAGTCTACTTTTTAACTGTGTAGGAGATACACTTCGGCCTCTAGTAAGTTTCGTTGAAGTGGGTTTTGTTTCTATTTTACTCGATTCTAAAACATCGATAATCTCGTTTGCTAGATCATCAGAACCTGTGGAATTCTCAGCATTAGGTGTATGAGACTCAACGCTTTCAGGCGTGTAGGGGTCCAAGCATTGGGTTGGGCTGAGCAATGAAGTATCGATGTCGTTCACGAATATTCCATCGTAACTCGAATAATCGGCACTAGTGATTTCAACAAAGGGAATATTGATTCTCTCTATCAACGAATTAGTACGTGTGCGTTTCGGTATATCATTTGAGAGCACATCTGTGTGTTTTTCCGTGCGAAACATTTGCTTTCTGTTGGCATAAATATCAGGGTCCGTTGGGAGACGAGTGAGATGCGGTGATCGGTGAGGGGATATGTTATGTGTTGGGAACGCACACAGGCCGTAAGGGTATTTGCATCTATTCTCTACTGTACCTCGGTCGCTTTGCAGCATCACGCGTAGGTAGATTGGCTGTGGAAAGAAGGCAGTATTAAAATTACAAATCTACTACAAAATCAGAATGAAAATTATGTATGAAAATTGAACAAACGACAGTATTTTAAGCTATTGATAGACAGATCACAACAGTCAACTACAATTGATAAGAGTTCATTCCATATAATTTAAAAATTTCGTGCAGTTTTGGCGGAACTTTGGCCACCGGCACAGTGGTGCGATTTTTTATATTAAAAGTCTGCGCATGGAAACTGTTAGTGGAAACGGCTTCGATATTGATATAAATCTCAAATCATTTTATCCACTTAGGCACATTGACTACTTGAGATAATGTCATCAACTGGCTGCGTCAAATTTCCGAAAAACATCGCAATGTGATACATCAACATCCATCCATCACAGCCTATAAATGTCCAGTATTGTACATAGGTCTCCCCTTAAATTACCTCATAACCTTTTTTATTTTGATGAGATTCTGTCGTAATTGGCACACTTGGCAGGCGGGTGGTAACCACAGTTTTTTTTATTTTACGTCGTTATCAGGAAGATGCTGCTGCCCATCTCCTGCCTGTCTCCCTCTGTCGCCTTTTACGACACCCACGGGAAGATATGGGGTAGTGGATATTCTTACACCGCCCCTACACGGGATAAACATATTACGCAACAAATTACGAAGAAATTTATTAACACATATTTATATTTAGTAAAATGTATTAATTAAGACCTTGTGGCCACAATAAATTATAAAAAATCTTCTGAAGGAATTTTTTTAACTGCTTTCCTTAACATATATTTAATAATTATTTGGTTTTATTCATCAAATGTCTGCACATGTAAGCGATTATTAGAAATGATTAAACAAGTTCATTCCTTGATGATTATAAAACCTCAAGATTAATTATTAGTTTATTCACCGTGATATATTATTTATTTTAATAATTAAAATAACTAGTTTACATTAATTTAATTATTTATTATAATTGAGTCATGTTAAATTCTTATCACAAACTTTGACAGATGAAGAGAATTTTCTGATCATATTTTACATTATAATGAAATATTACAGTAATTTAAGTACTCAATTTGGCTGAAGACCTCGCAATCAATTGTACAAAAATATATTGTAATAAATGGATAAAACCTACCTGTTTAGGGTTAAAAGATTTTTATATCAATAATAACGTCTTAGTTAACCCTATTTTGATTTATCCACCGAGGGGAAGCCTTAATTAAGTTACTTTTAGAACCTTAAAAGTTTCAAAATTTGTTAAAGCATTGTAATTTGTAATGTATTAATCAGTATTTTTATCTAAATAATATCGATATTTATCGACTATCAACAACATTACAACCTTAATTTTAAACCGTACCTTGTGGTCGCCATACAGGTGGCGTCCCACAAGTAAAAGTTAATGTTAATAAAATTAGGTACAGCATTGTAATGTATTCATATTTGTGTCTAAATAATATCGATATTATCGACTATCGACAACTTTACATTCCTAACTTTGTACCACACTTCAGGTCAGGTTTAGTAAAATTAATTTTATCTCCTAATATTTTTGTCTACACAACATCGATATTATCGACTATCGACATTATTACATCCCTTATTTTGAGTGTACCTTGTGGTCGCCCATACAGGTGGCGTCCCCGATGACCCCGTAGTCGGTGCGTCGTCGAGGCGTGACGTCAGCACGACGCCGCGTGTCGTTCGCCTCGGGCTTGGGCGAGCCTTCCGACTGATTGCGCACGAGGCGGCGGCGAGTCGACGCACTGGAGCACTCGCGTTCCGCGCCGCTGAGAGAACACATAGTAGAGCCATGCCGCAGCTATATCATGGTGCAACACGAATAGATCGACGACCCTCGACCGGGGATAGACCACGCTCTCACAGAATACCAGCCGTCGAATAGCAGCTCAATGTTGCTCTATGTTTTATATGGTAAGTGTAGGGAATTTGAGATCCTTTTTACTGGAAACGAGGCATTCCATGTAAGTCCTCAGGGGTGACAATGCATCTGCATTTTAATTCTTTATCAAATAATGCAGGTGAACTGCATGCTCGTGTGTCACCTGTATTCTATAAAAAAAAAAACGGCCAAGAGACCGGTGATATTATGTCGTAATAACCTGAAGTCGTATTTAACAAATAGACAACTATTACTTTTTAATAATCACATACATAATGTGTTTATTGATATTTAGGTGACCAGCTGATAATTTAAATCAAAATATTTATTTACATCACATATGTCAACATACGCACAAAATGTACCGATCAATTTGTGAGTTATATTTTGGATAATCTACATATATAACTAACAACGAGACATCTAGTGCAAAAAGTATGCAAGTTTAAATTGTTTTTGGTTTTTTTTCTATAGTGAAAAGTACGGACTGCATTTTGCAAACTCATTTAGTACTTCTGCAACTCATAGAGCTTCAGATACAAATATGTATTGCAGAAAAATAAACATTGACATTCCAATCAATGATATGCTGGCAAGTTGGGTGCGTGAGGGGGAGAGAGCTTCATACAAATAATTTGTAAACACGTTAACGCTCGTCGTTGTAACCGGAGAATTATGTATGAAATTTCGTCGTAATAAACGGATGTACTTTCATGTGGCTCATATCAAAACCAAACATATGCCTATACTTACGTCGCTAAAAACAGTTGTTATACGCGAAGTCGTTCTAAACAGACTACATTGTATATATTGGATGACCTTTTTTACCTTCTGGAAAACTGATATTTTCCAAAAAATAAAAACAAAAACTTTAATTAAAAAAAAAACAAATTAATTAAATTCTATCGAAATTCAAATCATATCCACCCTACTGCACGAACGGCAGTAACACTTCGCACGATCACAGCCTCAAGGGCGCCCGCGCTCTTAAGGACGCGTTTACAAAATGGATAGGTATAGAATCGCACTACTACATTGACAAAAGTCACACACACACTAGTGTACGCACGGTTGGCTGTGGGAATCGTAGTCAAATGAAATTATTTTGATAATTTGAAAGATTGAATTTGTTTTTCATTTCTTATACCTACCTCAGAAATATACTTCGATACGAAATATGAATACCTGCTCCAAAGACTGCTTGGCACTGGAAGCCCTCTACTGGTAGTGAGATGTTAGCTCTGGACTTTGAACAGGTTTTGTCAGTTATAATAAGACCTTACCTACCTGCGGACTTGATGGAGTGACCTGAAGGTGTAATTTGGTGATTACAACAATAGGAACTCCTAGACTAGTGGAACTAGGTGTGCCGAGTTTGGGTTCGTTTTGTTAGTTATGATGAGACCTTACCACCAGACTTGATGGAGTGACCTGAAGGGGTAATTCAGTAACTACTGCTGGAATTTCTGAACGAGTAGAACTAGGTGTGCCGAATTTGGGCTCCGTTTTGTTAGTTATGACGAGTCCATACCTCCGGACTTGATGGAGTGACCTGAAGGTGTAGATCGGTGATTGCAACTGGAACTCCTAGATTGGTGGAACTAGGTGTGCCGAGTTTGGGTTCGTTTTGTAGGTTATGATGAGACCTTACCACCGGACATGATGGAGTGACCTGAAGGTGTAGTTCGGTGATTACAAGTGGAACTTCTAGACTTGTAGGACTAGGTGTGCCGAGTTTGGGTTCGTTTTGTTAGTTATGATGAGACCTTACCACCAGACTTGATGGAGTGACCTGAAGGGGTGATTCAGTAACTACTGCTAGAATTTCAGAACGAGTAGAACTAGGTGTGCCGAATTTGGGCTCCGTTTTATTAGTTATGACGAGTCCATACCTCCGGACTTGATGGAGTGACCTGAAGATGTAAATCGGTGATTGCAACTGGAACTCCTAGATTGGTGGAACTAGGTGTGCCGAGTTTGGGTTCGTTTTGTAGGTTATGATGAGACCTTACCACCGGACATGATGGAGTGACCTGAAGGTGTAGTTCGGTGATTACAAGTGGAACTTCTAGACTTGTAGGACTAGGTGTGCCGAGTTTGGGTTCGTTTTGTTAGTTATGATGAGACCTTACCACCAGACTTGATGGAGTGACCTGAAGGGGTAATTCAGTAACTACTGCTGGAATTTCTGAACCAGTAGAACTAGGTATGCCGAATTTCACTCCATCAAGTCCGGTGGTAAGGTCTTATCGTAACTAATAAAACGAAACCAAACTCGTCACACCTAGTTCTACTAGTCTAGGAGTTCCATTTGTAACCACCTGATTACACCTTCAGGCCACTCAATCAAATCCGGTGGTAAGGTCTCATCGTAACTAACAAAACAAACCCAAACTCGGCACACCTAGTTCTACAAGTCTAGGAGTTCCACTTGTAATCACCGATTTACACCTTCAGGTCACTCCATCAAGTCCAGAGGTATGGACTCGTCATAACTAACAAAACGGAGCCCAAATTCGCCACCCCTAGTTTTACTCTGCAAGAAGTTCAAATAGCGGTCACGAAAGTACACCTTCAGGTCACGCCATCAAGTCCGGAGGTAAGGTCTCATCATAACCAACAAAACGAGCCCAAACTCGGCACACCTAGTTCCGCTCGTCCACGAGTTGCAGTAGTAGGTAAGTTTATATATCCTTCTTATTTTTAGCTAAATAAAAACTGTGAGTATAAAAATAATAATTTTATCACTTGTCAAGTACTTATGTTTCCAATTTTTTTTTTCTAATATTTTGTGTATGTACAGCGATCTTTTCAGAATGAGCCGCTGCAAACAGGCGATACAGTGTCCACTCACGACGGCGGCCGAGCGCGGACTGTGGTTTCATCGAAATCTTTGTACAATAAATCAAAGCAGGCACCAACAATAAAATAGCCCTTATTGCAATAGATTATGATTCATCCTTATTACCAAAATATGTGAAAAAATGTGCATCAGTTTTTATTTTTTTTACGACTATTTGTGACATTTTGTTAAAAAATAAACCCAGGGTTTTTTAATTGAATATGTCTGTCATCTTATAGTATTTTTTTAAATTTTTTAAATATGTTGATAATAGACCAAAACATGTACCGAAACACAAGCCGGTATCGTTAATTTTGTAGAAAATGGCAACGAAAGTTCGTTTTTACAATATAAAAAACTACTATTTTCAACAAAAGAGTTACAGACATTTGCAGATGAAGAACCAATCTATACATGGTAGTTTTTACTTATATTTGATTTGGTTTAGTTTTGTCACAAAATCTACCGAAAAACACTCTAATTTTGGTTGATTTGCAAACGCGTCCTTAATTCTTCAGTTAGTTTTTATACGCTATGGCGTGATGTCGCCGTCGTATTGTTTATGTTTACGCGTGTGTATCGTAAACATGTACCAATACTCCAATGACGAGACAATTCGGTGACAGGTGGATAGGTCGTCGTTGATCTTAGGAATTGTCCGGCGAGATGTTCTGACCTTACACACCGCTAGACTTTTATTTGTGGGCCGATATAAAACGATTAGTGTACACAAAAGAAGCACAAAGTGTTAGTGATTTAAAACAGTGTATAATAGACGCATTTAATGTAATAAAAAGTGAAAGACACACGCTTCGAAGTTTAACAAACAATTTACAAAAACGTGATAGTTTGTGTTTAGAAGGAAACTGTAGACATTTTGAACAACTACTGCGATATCGCTAAAAAGTTAATTTTTATTTGTAAATAATAGCAATAATATAGTATAATTTTGTAAATATCAATCAGAGTAGTTTGTAAATAAGTTGATTTACAAACATGGGACACGCGACGTCATTATTAATGAAAAAGTGGCAATGAGAAGTGCTCCTTATTTTAAATATTTTTCTTTTTATGGACCAAGTATTTTACTAATAACCAGTATATGCTGATCTTGCATTAGTAGGCAGTAACTACGGGAGATCTACTTACATTGAAAATTTTATGGTCATTGACATTATTCGTGAAAAACCACCACCAACGACTTTATGTGCTTTTCGAGGCACCACCTTCCAAACTCAATAAATTGTTTTTTCTTGTTCCGACCCGGGATTCTAACCCAGGACCACATGATCAGCTGTCACACTATTAAAACCACTAGACCAACGAGGCAGTCAAAATCAAAAATAAATAAAAGTGCCTAAATACTTATAAAGAAAAATAATTTTTGGTACCGTAAGGCGCGCTCAGTTGACTCTAAAAATGTTGACTGCAACGATGTGTCGGTCGCCCCGCTCCCACTCGGCCGTCTGGCGCCTACATAACGAAAGATGAGCATTCGTCTCGCTCGCTCTTACAACTTTCAATCACTAGCGATTATAGCCTAGTTTTAGTTTTACGCAAACGCCATAGGATGAATTGTTTTAATGTATTTTTGGATATTCGGAAATTTTGCCTATCAGTTATATTTTGTTATAGTTTACAAATACTTTCGTGGATAGCTTCTATTCCACTTACACAAAACACCATATTATTTTCCAGACGGTAAAAATAGACATCCTGTATATATGTATCTGAGCGTTACGATCACGTGAGTTCAGTGTTTTTCCCCATTTCAAAAGTATCCAACATGCCCGAAAAAGTTTTGACTTCAATAATAATTGAAGTCTGTTTATATTTATAGTCAACCAAATCTAAGAAATACATTTTGACAGCGGTCAGACTTATTGCACCAAGCATGCCAACCAAAAAATTGGAACGTTCAATATTAGATTCTTAAAAAAAAATCGATATCAATCACAGTTTGGTTTGAATAATACCCAGACTAAATTAGAAATGGATAATTTAAAACACAAGATTTATCAGTTTCTTCGTATTTGTTGTTACTGCTGATAGGGGTATAGTGTAGTGTTATAATTATTTAAGATTGAAACTAGATTAAAAATATTTTTTTAAAAACTTTCTTGAGCTGTCGTTATTTAAATTAATTATTATTAGATTTTCAATAATGCAGTCAAAATTAATGTCTCTTTCAGACAAGTGGATGACTTTGAAAGAGATCCATGATAAATTTTTTGTTTTTTTTCTACCGCTTTTGCCCAATCATCCTTTGTGACATGAACACATGCTTCAACGAATATAGTGAAACAGTTCAAAAAGTTAAAGCCGAGTCACAAAATAAGAAAACAAACACAAAATTATGCAAAGTCCCGAAATGGCAACACCATGCCTACACCATGAAGCTTAAAGAACAGGAAAATGATCAGTACGTACTAAACATAGCCTGCCTGTCCTTGAAAATTGTAGAATGTATAGCGGCGCTAACGTCGGTGAGTAGTGACTGCGAAGTTAGCTGTTTATGAGTACAAGTAGAGGAAATTAATTGAATAATGTACAAATTTTCTCCGCGGCATTGGTGAAAAAATTTTCACGCTCCGTAATTTTGTAATTTTTGACAAAAAGAAACATTAAAAAATGGAGAAATATTTTATTGTGCGTGGATATGCAAGTGGTTTAGCATCTGATCGGCAAAATAGACTGAAAATTACTTTTATTGACCGAACTTAGTGATCGCAGCGCCTCACTTATGGGGTCCATATTTCTGGGACACTATTTTCTACGGCGATCGTTCTCCTGTTCTCTAACCTTCATGGCCTACACAACGTTGACAAAGTAAAAAAATTAAACTTGTTTTATTCATGATTAAAAATAAAAATTTTATCAAACAAATAATACATTATAAAGATTAATGATTCGATTGTTTTAATATTTTTACCGAATATATGAATATTTTTGCCGATTGTTCACATAATAATGATTTTTAATTATCCAAACTCTATGGTAAGGTACATAGCGACATATCATTGAAACGACGTCAAGTAAAAAAGTTGATACTGGTTATTTTTTAGTATTTGCTTTGTTTGAAAGATTCGAATTTAAATTGGTTATAAAAAACTTCATAGTTCTTCGGATTTAAGCAAAAGGTTATTTTAAATCGTGTGAGTACGCTTGTGCAAAGTTATTGCGGAATGATTAATGTGAAACGTCAAAAGGTATTTCTTAGATTTGGTTGACTATAGCTATCTAGAATTTTGCCTACCTCGCAACAGACTATCAGGACATTTATGATATAAAATACTAACCGTGCATTGAGAGCGTGTTGAATACTGGTCGGGTCCGCGATGCTCTTTCTGCTTACTGTTATCCCGGGAACGGATAACGCGTCGAAATCTGCAACACTGCCTTTCTTCTCAAGAATTTTACCCGGACTGGACTGAAAGTAAAAAGGTTTTATTAGCCATAATTAGTCCACAGCTACCTGGACTGCACTACCGTGTAGTAGCGGTGTAAAAATTTCCACTATCAGATATCATCCCGTAGGTTACGACACCCATGGAGACGACAGACGGGAATCGAATCAGGAGATGGGCAGCAGTGTCTTCCTAATAACGACTAAAAATAAAAGAAACAGCGGTTGCCGACCCGCTTGGCAGGCGTGGCAACTGTGGCAAATATCCCCTTATGAGGGGAACGCCTATGATCTGCAGTGTAGTTTAAAGGCTGATCGGTAACGGTGGATTGGTTTGGCTTCCAAAATAAATAGGGTTAGCTTGAATAATTATATTTGATAGATGGATTCGCATCGAAGTACCAGACATATCGCACTATTATAGCTGTTTACCATCGGCGTGTTTAACATCGGGCGTAAACAATATTATTTATACACATCTTTTTCATATCGTTTGTAACAGTATATTAAAATTTATAATAACTAAACGTTATTTTTATTTATTATTTAGTCAGGTAGTTTTATCTATTTTTTCCATCTCATCATATATATGTAGGAAGGTAGTTAAATAGAATTAATTTACAATCACAAAATATACGGATCACAGGAAATCAACTATAAATTTTACTGAGACTAGCGTAATAGCTGATAATAATAATAATTAATTCGCTTCCACGAATTAATTATCCCAATAGTCTAGGATGAGCTGGTAGCGGGATACAACAAGCGAACCGTGCCACGGCAAAGCATATGACTGCCGCTGCGCGGTCGTTTTATACCCGTTGTTGCAAAACAAGCCGAGTAGTGATGGAGGTGGGGGAAACTGAGCGACGCGCCGGGCGGCGCGATCGGTGCACTTGTTCTTTACAATTTTGCTGTACCGAAGTACGACGGCACCGCCGTCATGCCGTCATATATTTTCCATTCCTAATTATGATTACTAATTTGTTTATCTTTATGTTATAGCTGTGTTTTTTTTTTGCACTTATCACTAAAATGCTTGATTTTTTCTTGTATGCTTTTCGGCATGCCTCTGCAATACAAAGCCATATTTATTAAATTTACGTATTTTTATTATAAATTTGTATATTACAAAATAAATTGTTTCTTTCTTTCTTTCTTTATAAGATATTATTTCACGCTGTTATTCTGCGGGAGCGTAGCCCTTTCCCGTGCGAGCCGACCCACATGTGCAACAATTAGAATATAGCTGGAGCATGTTCCTACCACGTATAAACATTAGAAAGAGACAGGGATAGAGATAATACTCAATTTAAGAAAGCGATTATCAATGCTCGTTATTGTAAATTAAATATTTTTATTATTTCTATATTTTTTTCATTGAGTAAATTGTAATGTAACTGAATATAAAAGTGAAACAGAACTATTCCATTCATACAATTTTTATTTGTTGTATTTTATCTTATGAATAAATTTTATATAATAATTGAAAAAAATCAGTCTTAAAAATGTGTATAAACGTAATTTTAGTTTAAATGAAAATCTGAATAGGATTAAGACATTAACAAAAATGATAAATTAAAAGTATATGATGTAATTTATTAATTAAAAAATAAAAGGTTTATTTGTAGCTCATACAAACAACACTTAGCCCGTGTTCCGAAATAGAATCCAGCATACTGTCCAATGCATATGACATCATAAATCAACGTCATACTGGTGATTCATTTCAAAACATTGGCCAGTATGTCATGTCATAGATGATCTCGATCACTCTTCCTCAGTAACAAAGAATGAGTATGATTTCTCATTATCTTCATCGTCGGATTTAACTGTTTAGGCTCTGCCTTTTTTTGTATTTGAATAAAAAAAAGAAATTCTGGCATGTTTCATTCAGAGTACAGACAATTAAAAATTGTTTTAATATGGCGGGATATCTGACACAATATGGCGACGGCACGCCAGTGCAATATGGTGTCAATTAATGACGTCATTTGCATTCGTCAGTATACTGGGTTCTATTACGGAACACAGGCATATTCTACATGAAACCATAGACAAATAAATTAACATTTTGCATGCTAAGCTAATAAGCTAATCATCAACTACTCATTTACCTGTTGATGCTGCCTCGCGGGAGAGTTGGAACGAGCTGGGCTGCTGTCTGAGGACGAAACTCTGCCACTGCTTTCTGAAGATTCAGTTACTGATTTCCTGTTAAGGGATTTTTTTTTATTTTATCATGGATAATGAAAAAACAAGAGCTAGTCTGTTGTTTTGTGTTTATAATATTAATGATTTCTTAAATTTACGCGAACACTACACATTGAATAAAACTATTATTTACACTGTGTGCTTTACAGCACCCATGGTCACGGGGGGGGGAGTCCCCCCCGTGACCATGGGTGCTGTAAAGCACCCGAAACGTCGGGATAATAATAAAAATAAATTAAAGTAATTAAACGCGATAAAATCCGTAAATAATAGTTTTATTCAATTTATAATATTATTTCTAAGTAGAGTACTTTTTAAATTCAGAATAAAATTATTAAAAAATTAACTTTGAATAAACAGTAAAAGCAGACTTTAAAGGACTAACAAGTGGTAAAATTAAAATTTTGTACAACCGACTACAATATAAATAAAATGAGAACATTATAATAATAAATACGCATTAAGCATAACTCAAAAACTACTGGTCAGATCTGGATCAAACTTATTTGGAACCACATGAGAAGCACCAGCTTCAAAATAAAAAAAAAGAATCATCAAAATCAGTTCACATAGAAAAAAGTGCTAAAGTAACACACAGAAAAAAGTACAGTCGAATTGAGAAACTCCTCTTTTTTTGAAGTCGGTTAAAAACAATAAAATAATTTCACATTCATTAGTACTAAGACTTCAGAATAAACAATTATTTATTTATTTTTTAGTAGTTTGAAGTTACTTTTTATTAAAAGTTTGTTTAACCCCTTTGAGTGGACAAGGTATATCACTCTCAATGATGTTTAAATAGTTCCATTTAAAATTTCATCCTTTATTTTAGCATTATTTAGGGTAGGTATATTTCTCGGAGATAATGCCAGACTTACAAATATTAACATTTTCTGAAGTCGATTAAAACCCAATTTTGTTCACCTTGGTGTCATCAAAGCGTTACTATGTAAGGGCTATACTTTGTTCTTTATATATATTGCACTACTGTTCCCCGCGACTTCGTCCACGTGGAATTTAATACGATTGGATTTCATGGATTTTTTTTAAATAAAAGTAGCATAAGTTACTCCTTATAACGTCAGCTACCTGCCAGTGAGTCCCGTCAAAATTGGTCCAGCCATTTCGGTGATTAGTCGGAACAAACGGTGATTAGACAGACAAAAATGTATTTTTTTTTTAATTATAAGTACTGAATATACATTTAGTAAAAAGCTGTTGTTTTGGCATTACAAACAGACACTTTTTTTAATTTGTATAGATTTATAGAAAGAAGAATATAGCGAAGCGACAGTAGCCTAATGGCAGGGCGCGGACCGCGACCTCAAAAAGGTCGTGGGTTCGAATCCGCCATTCGACTACTGGCGTGCACCACTCGTAACACAAGCAATTTAAGCTTACCACGAGTGGTTAAGGGGAATATTAGTAATGTTTATAGCATTGTTAATATTCTTTAAAAAAATAGATGATACTCTGCTTTACTTTAAGTGTTTCGTAATCACAAAATGGAAATGGAATAGACTAGAATGCTGTCTGCGAGGTAAAGACATTTTTAGCCACAATTTCACATAGACGAATAAAATTTATTGTTGTTAATCCAGTTAATCAACGGAAAGTGTTTCGCAGTTAGTTTTGGGGTTAAAACACAGTTGTTAAACAAGCTTTAAAGATCATCTTGTGGATTTATTTTTTTGGGGGGGTATTGGTGTTCCTATGTGTTTTGCTCATTGTGGTCAGATGTGTTTTGACGTTACAATCGTTTCCAAATTTCGTATGCATATTATTTAGAAAATGCCAAAATGCACACCAAAAAAAAGTAAAGTAAAGTTACAGCCTATATACGTCCCAGTGCTAGGCACAGGCCTCCCCTCATTTCTGAGAGGGTTTTAGGGCAAGTGTCCGCCGCGCTGCCCTAATGCATGTTGGCGAACTTCACATGTCTTCGAAATATTTGCACACTATTTACAAATAAATATGTATTTAAATTTAAACGATTATTTTTAATGATGATCTTGAACATTAATCAAAAGTCTAAAATTTTTAAATTTACTCAGTCTGTCAACACAGCGAATCGGGTTTGTAGTAGTGATAATACGACGTAATTGCTTGTATGTGTGCTCCCGGCGACGCCGACCCTCGTACAAAATAAGGTTGACAGCCATTCTATTGTATTATAGTATTCTATATTTGTGACATTCCTTGGGAGAGACCTCATGTTCAGCAGCGCTTGTTTGTTGATCAATAATACTTAAATTTATTTACATATGAAATGTGAATAATTACAGAAAGGTATTCAGTGTCGTATCTACAGACAAGGTCGAGTATTGTTGCTTTTTATTACCGTTGTTAAATTAAAAAAGTATTTTGTGAAAGATATTTTTGGATTTTGACTAGAATACCTAGAACCTTGCAAATGTCTAGCTTCCCCAGTGCGCAAATCAGGTTGCCCCGATTGTATTAGCAGCCGAGCGGACTGCGATAGAAGTACGCGATCGCACCAAGCTGGACATCTGGAATAAAAGTGTATTTTGAGGACTTTAAATAATAGCGTGAGGAGTATTTTAGAATTTTAAGCATTAATAAGAAAAACCCCCCTACATACACACACACACACACACACACACACACACACACACACACACACACACACACACACACACACACACACACACACACACACACACACACACACACACACACACACACACACACACACACACACACACACACACACACACACACACACACACACACACACACACACACACACACACACACACACACACACACACACACACACACACACACACACACACACACACACACACACACACACACACACACACACACACACACACACACACACACACACACACACACACACACACACACACACACACACACACACACACACACACACACACACACACACACACACACACACACACACACACACACACACACACACACACACACACACACACACACACACACACACACACACACACACACACACACACACACACACACACACACACACACACACACACACACACACACACACACACACACACACACACACACACACACACACACACACACACACACACACACACAACCACTACATACACACACACACACACACACACACACACACACACACACACACACACACACACACACACACACACACACACACACACACACACACACACACACACACACACACACACACACACACACACACACACACACACACACACACACACACACACACACACACACACACACACACACACACACACACACACACACACACACACACACACACACACACACACACACACACACACACACACACACACACACACACACACACACACACACACACACACACACACACACACACACACACACACACACACACACACACACACACACACACACACACACACACACACACACACACACACACACACACACACACACACACACACACACACACACACACACACACACACACACACACACACACACACACACACACACACACACACACACACACACACACACACACACACACACACACACACACACACACACACACACACACACACACACACACACACACACACACACACACACACACACACACACACACACACACACACACACACACACACACACACACACACACACACACACACACACACACACACACACACACACACACACACACACACACACACACACACACACACACACACACACACACACACACACACACACACACACACACACACACACACACACACACACACACACACACACACACACACACACACACACACACACACACACACACACACACACACACACACACACACACACACACACACACACACACACACACACACACACACACACACACACACACACACACACACACACACACACACACACACACACACACACACACACACACACACACACACACACACACACACACACACACACACACACACACACACACACACACACACACACACACACACACACACACACACACACACACACACACACACACACACACACACACACACACACACACACACACACACACACACACACACACACACACACACACACACACACACACACACACACACACACACACACACACACACACACACACACACACACACACACACACACACACACACACACACACACACACACACACACACACACACACACACACACACACACACACACACACACACACACACACACACACACACACACACACACACACACACACACACACACACACACACACACACACACACACACACACACACACACACACACACACACACACACACACACACACACACACACACACACACACACACACACACACACACACACACACACACACACACACACACACACACACACACACACACACACACACACACACACACACACACACACACACACACACACACACACACACACACACACACACACAAACACGCGCGCACACGCACACGCACACACACCTTTATTGTTACGCGATCTTTTTTAGGATTTGCCACCTTATCCCCCTTTTTGGTTAGATTTATAAGCACACCTTTTCTCTTAATGATTTCTAAAATTTACGCGAACTCTACACATTGAATAAAACTATATTTTCGGATTTTATCACCTTTAATTAACTATTTTAACTTATTTTTAATTCCCGACGTTTCGAGCGCTTTATAGCACCCATGGTCACGGGGGGGGGGGGGGCTGAGATGTTTCAATGTCATAGTCCGGCTACCTTCAGTTTTTGAATATTAATTTTTCTATTAATCTACGCAGAACGAGCTTACAGTAATATAGTTACTGTAAGCCTGTTCTGCGTAGATCGGTCAAAAATTAGAAAAAAAAAACAATATTTAACAACTGAAGGTAGCCGGACTATGACATTGGGACGTCAAACATCTCAGTGCCCTCCCCCCCCCCCTCCCCACCGAGACCAAACGTCAACGAACAAAACGTCGGGAATTAAAAAAATAAGTTATTAAACGCGATAAAATCCGTAAATATAGTTTTATTCGATACTTTTTCTCTTTCACGTCAGATTTAAAATTATTATGACTATACATGACTTTTATATAATTATGTAGATAAAGTTTGTATTTACTTTGCAAAGACAAGTTATTCACAATATGAGTTAAATTACCAAAAACACTAATATTAAATCAAATTTCGTGGAATTTGTTCAAATGGCATTGGCTTTAATTTTTTAAGAAATTCACCTAGTCTTCATGTAATGTGTAGGTAGTTGAATATCCTCCTCGAAGGGGTACGTGGGTGGGAACTTGACCGGGAACTCGAACAGGTGCGGTCGGAGAGCCTCCAGCTCGCGGTCGTAGCGCTGCAACTGCAAATTAAACGTTTTGTACAGTTAATAGAGTTGCTTTTTAAATGAAAATTAAATTTGAATGCGTTGATTTAGTCGCTTTGAGTCGAAACATTTAACAAAAAGTATAAACAAAATATGGATTGTAACATAAAGATTACAAGGTATAAAAGGAATAAAAGTTATTTGCTAAGCTTTGCGCGTAACCATCAATTCCAACCAAAGATGGTTCGCGAGGCTATTGAAATCTAAAGGTGTGTCTACACTAGAGGACCCGAGTACAGATTCGTTTAGTGTAGAGAGACTTACAAGCCTCGAACGAGCGCGCTTCGAGCGTTTGGTTCGTGCTCGACTGTGCTCCGCCTATTGTCGGTTTTTTGACAAACACAAAGGGATTTATATCGCATGCATCGATTTGCATGTTGTAGGCTCGTTGTACGTCCACACTTGAAACCGTGAGTAGAGCGGCTCAGCTTGTGCTCAACTCGTGCTCGGCTCCTCTAGCGTAGATCCACCTTAAAAACATCCTAATTTCAATAGAAAAAATTGATAGGTTAAATCCCAACCCGAGCATACAACTGCAATACTTTAAGATACTAGTATATGTACTTTCTGTGTGGATCGGACAAAAAATTACTAATTTTTTAACTGAATTTATGACATTGGGACTTTGAATTCAGTCCCTCTGTGACAATTAGTGCTGCAAAACACACGAAACGACGGTAATGTGAAATAATTTATATACGGTTACAGTCCATCAAAAGATTACAGCTAATAAATAGGCCACCATGGGGAACGGCCAAGTATCCTACTATGATGTAATCTTTATAGATATATATTTGCCATAGTTGACACGCTTGGCAGACGTGTTGACATTGTTTAAGCTATTGCATAGCTTTTATCGCGGGCTTTGAGCACGGCGACCGAATCAAGAAATTCCGTAAAGAAAATAAACCTAAGACCCATCGATCACTAATAAAAAACTAGATACACAATCAGTGACAAAAAACGACCTCACCAAATGAGCACCCATTCGAACATTTGGGTGCGCTTTTAATCTAGTTACATTCGAACGCTCCGACGGTAAACATGCCTCAGTGCTCGTTTAAAAAGTGTAAAAATCACACATCCAGGATGCTAAAAAATGGTGGAATTTCCTAATTTCGGTACGTATTAATATTATATTATTTAATTGTTATCACTGTATTGTAAATACTTATATTTTGTCAAGAAATCTCCGTAAAACATTTTTTTTAATTTAAGTCTTAATAAAATAAGTCATCATTGTTCGTTGATTCTGTTCCATTTGTTGGAACAGAGTCAACGAACAAGTTTATATTTTAATAATAAAAAAAATAATAACGAGACGTTATTATTTTTTTATTATTAAAATATGATTATTTTTGTTTAATGAGACTTCTTTATAGTTTCTCCATATGTTATAGTAACATATTATAGATTTAATTTTGAATATGTGCATGTAGTAAAATTAAAGATGTGAGATTTTATTTTTAATTTTTCTGCTTTCCTCGAGATCCAGTCAGGTGTGCAGAATGGATATCAGTCATAGCACGTCAAAGGTCCGAAGAAATCTTCAAGCCGACCCAAGGAAGCGTTGTATGTTCGAAGCGTGTTTTAGAAACTGATGAATATGTGACTACGACTTACAACTTTTTGTATACTTTTTATATTTAGTAACTATTGAATTTAGGCTTAAGTTCTTTGTCAAGCCATATTTTAAAATTTTTGACACAAGATAAAGAATAAATAAATAATTATTTATTTACCCTTCATTTACTGTATTTTATTTTATTAATTACACAGTACTTTCGTTACTAAATGAATCTGGTGTCATATCCAAAAACGTATTTACATTCAGGTAAATTATAACCATTACACATAATACATCATAGAATAGAATAGAATATGCTTTATGTACACTAGTTTTTAAAACTAGTTTGAAACATTTTAAAATTAAAACAGTAAGAATAAATATTGGGCAGTTCGACTCCAATGATTCCTTGTCTAAACTACGGGCCTCGGTCGTAAAATTTGATAGCTTTTTATTAGCACTTTGTAATTCTGACTTTAAACCACACGTGTAAGGTTGAATTTGTTTTGATATAGGTAGACCAGCCAGTATCAGTCATAAAAATTTATTGCTTTTCGTACGTATCTTTGTGAATACAACTATAGGCAATGTATTTAAGGTTGAATTTACATAAATGTATATTAATTTCAACTAGAGTTACGTCACAACAATTGGCGACAGTTTTTAGAGAACTTTTGTATGGGGTTGTGCATCTAGTTCTTTATTAGTGATCGATGCTAAGACCCCAAAAACTAACATCGTCTAACGTCGTTTCAGTTCGGCAGACTTCGGCACGGTGTTTATGTGCGTGCGACTAGACGTATGCGTGTAGACTATTTGCATGTATTGTAAGATAATAAAAATATTTTAAACAATAATATAGTTTATTGCAAGATGCATATTCTTTGGATTTATATGAGTCGTCGTCATGCTGACAACTTTCGTGAATTTAGAGTATTTAATAAAGACAGACTTTATACTTAAATATATATTTTTAATTTATACATTATTTTTGATGGCACGTTTGGCGCAGTGGCTGAACTACCCGAATGCAGCGTCGCGGATCATGGGTTCGATTCCCGCATGAAGCAAACATTTTTGATAACAAAGAAAAAATACTGCATAAATAAAATAAATATATAATTATAATTGCATAAGTTGGTAAAAATGCTACGCAATAGCTTTACCGCGGCAGTCCCCGAGTGCCGCACTTATTTTTATTTTTCAGTGGAAAGGATAGATAGAAGGACATCGCGACTGTCGCATTAAAGGCGTTGGAGAAGTCAACTATAGCCAGCACAATGACATTACTTTCCTCCATGCCAGCCCTAATGGCACCAGTGACTTTGAGGAGTGCGGAAAGAGTACTATGACCTGGACTCTTCGATCAACAATACCAACTAGATGTCGAGTCAGCGCAAGAAATCCGTTTAAGTAAATAAGAGCGCACATGAGACGTGAGCTCTTATTTCGTTTAGTTCACTTGTAACACAGCCAATGTGAACACGTTTCACAATGCCGCAATGTGTATTTAAAAGTTGCAAGAATAATGCCCGAAAAAGTAATTTAACGGCCGGAGTGTCTTACTTTCGGTAATTACATGTATAATATGTTATATTTTAAGCTCTAAACTAACAAATAATATCATATTTGAAACAAAATTACCGATCATAACCACCCCTATAAATGTTTTCCAATGTTGACCAATATACGCGCAAACATTTGTGAAACAGAACATAGACGTATGAAGTAGATTTGAATTGCAATAATTTTTAATAATTCGTTACCAAATCTTTAAATAATGGTAATTGCCACTTTTATCTTTGTTTGTGTAATTCCAATAGATACTTACCTTTTTTATTTTAGCGTTCCTAGCTTTCTTCCCTGGTTGAGCAGACCCATTCATGCTACAACTATACTACTAATATAATTGCAGCATGGCTCTACCACATTTTAAAAGTATGCCATGGACAGGATTACATGAGGATGACCGGAGTATGGCAAATTGGTGTGATAAAAATAATACACATATTTTTATATACTCTGTGGCAACCCAAGTGACAAGTTGTAAAATAATAGCTCCCAACAATTTAGCAAAATTAAATATTGTAATTTGATAATATCCACCTCAATTTTTAGTTACAGTTGTTAAATAATACTTAATTGTGTTGGTAAAATAAGTAAAAGTCATAAGTATTTTAATTATATAGTGTTTTGTGTTTCAACTAAAAGTGACAGCTGTAGGTAACGAACATCGTTTGAACTTTCTGTAAGTTATTGTAATTTTCTTGTTATCCCTTTAATATTTTAAGATTTATCTTTTAAATTAGTGCAGTTTCGGATTTCAATTTGAATTATTTACCTGATAATTTAATTTGAGATCTGTAAGTAGACCCATAGATCTAGATATTAGCTTACTCTGTTTCTTCGGTTTTCTTTCTTTGTTTTCTTTTGCTATTTACACATAATAGTAAAATGAATACACGCAACGCCAAAACGCGCCAAATGGAGAACCAACTTCAAATGGCGCTTCTAGAACTTAAGGCGTCAAAAGAGCAGTGTGAGCTGTTGCTTAAAGAAAGGGATGACAACGAAAAGGAAATAATAAATATAATTGCCAAAAATAGTCAACTAAAAAGTGATATGGTTAAGTTGCATAAAGACTACACAAATGTTTTAAAAGAAAGGGATCAGCTTCAGGAAACAGTCGATGAGTTTGACCGATGCAGCAAAGAATATGAGGACTCCCTCAGATTAATTGCTGCATTGCAGTTGCAGTTAAGTGAGGCTAATGAGCAGATTTTGCAATTAAAACAATACTTAGATGAATTGAAAGTGTCTCAAACTCAAAGTCTGTTCAATGAGCTCATAGAATGTAAATCATCAAAAACATTGCATCCCTCCACAACAATCGATTTGACTGGTGATGATTTTGTCACATCTAGAACAGCAGACAGGATTACGTGCAGTAGAAGAAAATTAAAGAAATACATAAAAATTTATAAATATGTTAGGAAGGTACAAAAGTTAATTAAAACAAAAATTAATACAAAAAATTATATAAATATATGTAAGGAAAAGCATGTATTAATTAATAAACTTAAATTATATGCAATTGAGGTGGAAAATATGAAAAACTGTTATGAGACTGAAATAGTGTCTCAATTCAGAAGTTTTGTCGCTTAAAAACTCCTTAGAAATTATCTCAAATAAATATGCATCGGCTCAGGTTGAGATAAAAGAACACATATTGGCCATGAATGATCTGGTAAAGTCATGTAAATACAATGAGGAGCGCTTTGATTCCTTAATAAAACGTCAGAATGAGAATCAACGCTCCATACCATGTTCATCGGGGACAATATGTGTAAATAGCAATGACTCCTTATTTTCACCAACACTCTATGACGGTGCCATAACACAGAATAAA